ACTAACCCCCACTAAAAACCCCATCACCCACCCCATTCACACATCCAAGGGCTCAAAATCTACCCTCTTCCCCAAGCCAAGATCCAAGGGTTCCTAATTTTTCTCACATGAATTTCCCCAAAATTACAAATGGCAACCAAAATAAATAAGCAAGATGGGGAGGGGCATACTTGTCCATGAATTTCGGCCAAAGGAGGGAAAATTCAAAAGTCCAAATTGTCCTTCAACCTTTCAAATGAATTCAAATAATCCCAGGGATAAAATGGTCATTTTCCACTCTCGGTCCAAATTCCAAATTTCCGACAAATCCAATAAACCTTAAGGTTGGCCACGCTTATGTGACGTCGTCCAAATAAATTAGTCGTGACACTTCGAGAAATTCGACATCCAAGTTTGGATTCAAATGACGGCCAATTCCACTCAAATGCGGCTTTAATGTATCTCTGACTAACGGACGGCTTTTTAGGGTTTACGCGTATCGACCTGTGGTTACTCAAGTCATGGCGACCTCAATCGTCACCGAAGGTCGACTCATGGTCGAGTTCTTAGGTCCACGTACATTTCCCTAGGTAGCCATTCCCTAAAGGTTAGTATCCCGAGAATAATCCGTTCCGGGCGAGATTTAACTACAACTGCATTGAAGAATATACACATTTCATTTATCCCAAAAAGTGGGTCGAAATTTAGAATGTCATAGAATTCGTTCGATGGAGAATAGTCTGTGGCAAAGGTCTTAATCATGTAACATCATTTACATACATTTCATAACAATTGTCACGTACATCTCATCATTTGCCATTTCTCATGCATAATCACATTTGTCCCATCATTTGACGTCACATCAAGGTCAATTATATCTCATTAGAAAGCTCAAAATGTATAGATTTTTTCTCCAGCAGACATCAAGTCCAAATTCCCAAGGTTTCACATGAGAAATTGTGCATATTTGAAATTGGGTAAATCTTGGCAATTTTACACAGTAACGGAAATTCCTTCAAAATAAATAGTAGATGGACTCCAAAAATTCTAAAATTTGAATATGATATAAAAGACACCTGGATAAAAAAATTTCATGAAGAAATAAACGTCCCTATATTCTTGAAGTATCTCATTTACTAACTTAAATACAGACTAAAAATTTCTCACTGTAACATAATGTCCACTTCACAAATTATTCCTCTTCCAGTAACCAAATCACCTCAAAATACTTTGAAATTTTTATAAGTCATAGGTAGAACAATCATTTACAACTTTTGTGAAGGAAGTTTATTAAGATTTGTACAATAAAATTTTATAAAAAATCGAGAAAGGATGAAAATCACAAACTGTTCAATTCTGGGTGGTTAAACCCGGTTTGAAGGTAAGACTTCGTGTGACCCAAATCAACTCAGAAAAATCTAGATTTAAAGTATGATAAACCTCAAGATGTGAAGAACAACTTTTGTGAAGAAAATAACTTCAAATTCTACCCACGAAAGTCTCTACAAAAATAGAAAACTGAAGAGGTACAGAAACAACGAATCTAGGTTTCCAAAACCAAACTTCAAGGATTCAAGCTCTAGTTGATATTCATGAATCTTCCACTCACAAAACTCATTTCCAAAAGTTTAAATAGACATACAACACCCAATTCCAGGTTTGGTCATACCCATTCATGCACAATAAATATTAAGAACCATACAAGCAAGCCACCAAATTGCACCTACAACTCAATACTAACAAAATCAAAGGTGTAAGAAGATTGGAAGGCTTAGAAATAGGTCTCATCTCCTAGCCTTAGCTTCTAGGACCGATTCTTCCCTTATCTTGAGCTTCGGCTGTGAGTTCTAATATGAACCAGTGAAGAATTTATGCTGAAACAGAGAAGAATTTGGTGCTGGAACAGAGGAGAGAGAGTCGGCTAGAGAGGGGAAAGAAACCGAGAGGGGTGGGAGGGAAGTGAGAGTCAGGGAGAGGTTGCTGCCGAGAGTTCAAGGGAAAGAGAGAGAGAGCTATGATGATTCTTCATCATGAGCCCCAAGATGGTGTGGCCAACAAGCCTCCCACCTTGCACAACAAGCCTCCCTGCCTTGCACAACAAGCCTCCCCGCCTTGCATTAAATCTGATTGACTGATGTGAATAGTAAACATGATTAAATAGACTTAATAATTCAATTTGCATGCTGAAATTCTGCCCTAGATGGTCGGCCACACGTTGATATCTTCAATTGTCCAATGCATTCCAAAGATTTTTGGATTAAAATATGTCAAATGCTTAATCATCGATATTCCGAAATTATCTCGATAATTACTAATCAATTCTTGGCCATTTCCAATTAGCAATTCATATAATGCCACTAATTAGTTATGCGAATTTTCGAGATGTCACACGGGTGTCTACCTTGCTTCTACAAACAAAGACTCCGAATACATGGACTTGATTACACTAAATTCATCTAACGCCCTTTGGTACCTGTTCTCTTTATATGAAAATGTGTGCATGCAATCTCTTTATTAGTTTTATCCTAAGCCACTGACATGTGAAAATTACCATGCATGGTGTGCAAGTAATAAAGTAACACCCAATAATCAAAACAGTAAATGAATTACAAAATAATTGAAGAACCTAAGATGCAATGAGGAAACATAAGCAAAGCCGCATTATTGGCCATCAAGACAGGAGCTTATGCAAATCATTGGTCAAAAGGTAAAAATGCATGTATGCAATACTATATGAGACGCCAAAGTTATCCATTAACAACTTATTTACCACAAGAACGCAAAATTAGTGACTTTGCAACCTATACTAATCTTTTTGATGTTTTCTTATTTAATTAACATGATGAGTGCACTGTTAAAGTCTAGCACACTAAACGGCCGAAACTATGCATGCAATGTAATGCAATGGAATGACATGAAAATCTAATTAGATCAACATGTATAAAATTAAACAATCATGAATGATTTATTTAAATCATATACAAATAGTTTAGTATAAAGTTCTAAGTGACAAATATTATGCATATTAAACTATATGACATAAACTGATGCAATGATGCAACAAATAAGTGAATGTATCCGAGATGCAATTCTAAGCATAACAATGAATTGAAACTAAACCTGGGAAACATGTTATAATCAAGACTATCCTAATTAACACGATTGATTTATTTCAAACTATATGAAATTAAATGCAACCTAAATGAGACATGACATGGCCAAAATTCTTAAGTGGATGCATATTCTATTCTATAATGCATAACCTAAATCACAAAACACTAATGACTTGCATTAAACATATGCAGGCATCAGGAATTCTTAAACTATATGCATATTTAACTATATGAAATAAACATGAATTATGCCCAAAATGCAATTGTTAACTAAGTTTAATTATTTGACATAAAAAACTAAGTTTAATTTATATGAAATATCAATCAAAATTGATCCCTAAAGATATGTGGCTCACTAAATGATATGCAATATACAAACGTGTATAACATGAGCATTATAGAATTAAACACGAATTAGTTCTATAGCAAATGCAACCTACATGAGATACTAATGAAACATTTTTGAATTTCTTTATTAATTAAGTTAACAAAAACGAAATTAACCTTAGACCCAACATGATTGACCAAAATCAAAGAGGGAAAACATGTATTAAGTCCTAGTCATGCATAAATTAAAGTAATATGTATAAAGCATGCATAGATTAAATAACTACTACCTGATTCCTATATGCAAAAACCTAAGCTATGAAACATGCACGACTAAGTTAATAATGCAACCCAAGTCCCGTATGCAAGAGAGATTATCTAAATGCAACCTAAGAATATGCACTATTCACGATTCTCGAGAAAATTATGATGCACCAAAGTATGTCGAAATTCATAAAAATTCGTCGAGAACATGTGATGTCATCCAAAAATCATTGATATTTATCAAGGAGGTGCAATAATCACTAAACTTCAACATTATGATGCAAACTCGATTATTCATACATAGAAAGTCGATTACTTACGCCATGAGCGTATAACTAAGTATACATAATTACACCAGTATTATAAATACCCTGACCCACTTTTGGATAAATGGCAAAAAAGAATTTCTCTTATTATTTGATATGACAAAAATTAATAATTAATCTAAAAATATTTTTTATTGACTCATTTTTCCAGAAAAAAATATTTCTTAAATTACTTATTCCTAGAGAAAATGATGGGTGTTATATTCACTCCGGATAAGTGCATTAGAAGTTCTAAAACTTGTAACGAAAGCGCGATTGAATCTTAAAACTTTTAAAAAGTGCAATTAAATCCTAAAACTTGTCAAATTAATCTGATCAAGTCCTTATGTTGATTACACTTTTTGAAAGTTTTAGAACTCGATTACATTTTTTGAAAGTTTTAAGGCTCAATTATACTTTCGTGATAAATTTTAGGATTTAATTGTACTTTTTTAAAATTTAGAACTTAATCGGAAAAAACAAAAATTTTAGGAATTCTAATTGACTCGCTTTCACTTCCTTTCGTCTTGCCAAGGCTTCGCAGCACTGTGAGTACAACGGGAAACGCAAGCGATCTCGTCCGGCAAGTTGGCCGATGAAAATGGCGAGCTCGCCGGAGCATCATCCCGGCGTGGGCAGCGAGAATGCGAGATCCGAGAGCGAGGAGATTCCCACGCCAAAAGGGCTGGTGGGTGGAGATGGGTCAAGGCGAATCGGAATGCCGGGTCATTCACGGGCAGGTGATGTCGTGCTTGGTTCTTCAGTTTCCGCATGATTCAAATTATGGTCGTGGGTGGATTCTGGGGATGATGCAATGGGGTCGCGGCGCTTTATGTTGGAGACAGCAGGTATTGTGAGCTTGATTGGGTGGATAATGCTGAATGCTGGAGTGAAATGATGCAATGGGTCGTGTCATTGATCAGTCGTTTGTTCTGAGATGATGTGCTGGAAGAAACTAGAGTTGGGAAATGCCGGCGGGGGGAAGGGGGGGGGGGGGGGGGGTGTGGGGGGAGAATGAATAAGACTCTGTTGCAGTTGGGAAGGTTCCACTTCACGTGGACAAGGGGGCTGACTATGAGCTGAGGGCTGACTATGAGCTGAACTTCCTGTGATCATGCCAGTTGACGCTTGGATGGCGCCTAGATGGGGATCAAAGTCAGGTTGTCCCTTTGTAGTCTTATTATGTGCAGTCTTGTGAAGGGGACAGTTGCCTGATACGAAGTCGACATTGTCTTCTCACTGGTCCAATGATGTTGAGTCATGGAGGAAATACAATTTGACTAGAGAGGATATCACAGGGTCAATAAGCAGGAGATTAGGCGAGATTGATTCTCTCATTATCTTACCATTTCGTAATAGTGACAAAAGTTTCTTCACAGTTTACTCATGAAACTGCTAGAATAGCCTATCAGTTGTCATCCAAGATGTAAGAGCTCAGGTTCCTGCATCTTTTCTATATCGATGATGCAGTGTTTCTTTTGAAATGGCAGTATAGGGGCAGTGGAGTCTGCGTACAGATATCTAGAAAGAGTTACAATTTATGTCAATACTGAAAGTCATCTCTACCGACTCCAGATATTTGCCAATGTTTGCCAGTATGCCAATACTTGCCATCTTCGGAATTGGAGGTTGGGCATGACTTAATCAGGGATAGCCTCGCAGCAAGATAGAATGTGGAAAATTGGAAATGATATTCAATCAAAAGCTGTGGATAGCTGTCTGACTATTTCAACTTGACTACTCAACAGTGGCATTTCAACTGGTTTCAGATGCCAAGGATATGTGTATTTGTCGTTTGAAAAACGAATAGCCAGAAGGGATCTTCAAGACTGATTCACAGTGAATAAGTAGGGGAGAACCTGTTTGCTTGCATTTACTTAGTCGGGCTGCTTGAGCTGCATGGAGGTTATTGATTTTTTTTCTTACCGGGAGTGCAAGAATACTTGTTCTTAAGGGGGTCATCATTTTTAAAAGGTAAGATTTCAGCAGCGAAATAACATAAGTTTCCGCTAGCACGGCCTTTTGAATTTCTCTAATCTCTTGAGTCTAACACAATGCTCAAAAGGCCGGCTAATCTATCACTGCTAATCCTTCTGAAAAAAATGATGCTAACCACAATAGCTGACTTGGATGGACCCTTACGACTAAAGCTGGTGTGCAACAGACAAATTAAATTCACCTTATTCAAACCAGGAAATTAAGTATTCAGATTGAGCTGCATACCCAGGCGGGTTGGTTAAGTAAGGCGCTTTTCTGATTCATCACTGACTCAATCTAATGTTAGAATCACCAGGAATGTCAGTTTCTTACGTACGTGTGATGTTTTAGCTTGGAGTGGGACTCTCCTTATGCAGTTTAGCGAGGTACAATTTCAATCTCAATTTGCATGCTTGCGTTTTCAGGAGATAGTTGTCATCAACTTAATGGTTACATGCCAAATGGTAGTGAACCTTTATCTCTGTTCTTAATTGGTGTGATGTTGCGTTCGCGGACCATTACTGTTGATTTGAATTCTCGTGTCACCCCCTGCAGTCTATAGCATAAAATTGCTGTGCTCTGACTGTAAACAAGCTAATCCTGCGTGTAAAATTGTGCTTTATGTGAAACAAGGGGTCCCTTCTTCACTTCCCTTGACGATCTCTTGTTAAACTAGGATGATTATAGTGGTGGACATTTAGTAGAAATCTCATGAATATTGATATAGGATGGAACAATCTCTTTTGGGTGCTCAAGTGTAGTTGACTGTAGCAGGTAATCACACCCTCAATATGCTGTACCATTTATTTGTTCATTTTCTCATTTTCATTTTGAGCTTCAGGAAGAAGTGATGTGGGGATCTCTGTCTTAAATCTGCAAATAGGATATAATTTACTGTTGAAGAAGCCTGCTTCTTCTGGCTTGACAGGATATTAAGTGCACAACAATGAGCTAGCTAATGATGAAAGTCTTAGTTACAATTGTTACTGATAAGGCCATTAGGTGATATCTGTGAAATTACTCCTTCAAAGTGTTGAGGCATAAGATGGTTCCTTTAGAAATCTTATTTCTGTTTCTGTAATATCTTTGCCAGATCAGACTTATACTCGGCCATAACATACATGCTGTGAACCAGGTGATCTGGGAGAAGACTCAAAGACAGAAATGACTCCATCCCCAAAGGAGAAGTTTGTGACTTGGTCCTGAACATCCAACACTCCACTCTACGCTCCTAGTATTTTGTGCTGTTCTTTTTTCAGGATCAAGAGTACAAACATTACATCCGCAGATGATCTTTTTACATCGGAGTACTCTGTAGCCAAAGCTTACACCTAGATATCATTTAGATTTTTTCTTGTGGCTTCGTGGCAAGTCTGTATATGTATTGTCCAGCTGTTATTATTAAACTGACTGTTGATATTTATCTCTTAGTTTTTCTGTTGAATCTATGAAAGTTTTCTCTTGAATCTTAATGAGAACTGCCTCATGCGTTATTCAATCATTAAGTACAACAGGACTCTTCTTTTTCTGTTGTCATCCAGCCACTTCATTCGCCTATGTAACAGCAAGAAGATGGTCAAATAGTTTGGAACGATGTTACTTTTCATAATACAATTCCTTATCATTTGTGCATCTGTCATGTCTCGTTTCTTATTTTACGATCCTGTTTAAGGTTGTATGATTCACTTTTACCTGATTCGGGCTACGAGCTTCACATATGACATCCCCCATGTGACAATATTCAATTCTCTCATGAAGATTACTTCGTATATGTCCAAATTATTTTGGACGTACTTGATTTCTTGTTTGTTTCTTATTTGCTCTTTTGCCTTTGTTCCTTTGCTCTTCTACTGGATGCTGGTTTTGTTGTTTTATATTCTTTTTTCTTCTGTTTTTTTGCTGGAGAACGAAAGGAAGGGATAAGGTGCTAGCCCCAGAAGCAGTGATATATAATCTTCTTTGGGTTACTCTTCAGCTGAAAACTGTTGGTATATTGGCCTTGAAGTCATTCATATACTCTCTAAGTGTGTGTGTGATGTTGGTATTTCCATTCCTTCCGCAGCACTATTTGCTTTTATTGGTCAGATATCACTGAAGAATATTGGTAGATATAATCATGTGAGAAGTGTTGGTTTTCGCGGTAATTTCCTCCATGGAAGATTTGCTGGTGCCTTTTCAGCTGCTCAGGGTGAACTTGTTCAGAAATGGGAGCCCATGAACAGGTAAACGTCACCTGCACTGCAGGTATTTTGGAGCCTTTTGAACTTTGACTCTGTTGTGAGTTTTATTGTGAATCATTGGCAAATCACCTGCTGTTCGAAGTATGTTGCTTAGATAACAGATTGTTTTGAGTTGAACAAAATGCGAAAACATAGGTGGATAACTTGAGTTATTGAGACCAATGAAAATGGTATAGATTTTGTCTTGGACCATGATCTTTATCTCCTAATGTTTTGATGAGACAAGAGCTTTGGATTGTTATCAGGCCCACAAATAAGAAGATCATCATATAGGCCCTCCAACCAAACTACTTAGTTCAAGAATGAAATGTTTTGTTTGAAACAATGTTTCCTTTGATATCTCTAAAAATTAAATATTGTGCACTTTTGCTAGTATAGCACTAACTATTGTAGTGTTTCTTGGAAACAAAAGGAAGAACAGCCATCTCCTACATCGATTTTATAATAGCATACTGTTAGCCAATTTGGAGTGCCAAGATTATGTCATCTCTAGCCTGCGGGAGCAAACAACCAAACCACTGAGAAATTGCATTATTGAGACAGAGCTTACATAGATTAGGCCCAAGCATATAAGACTAGAAGGATCTGGTGTCTTCAAGCTTGGTGGTTGCTTGATTTGGAAAATATTGCTAGAAGTGGTAATATATCGCATGGATGTTTCTGAGGTGGGGATAAGTGACACTCATGAGGTTCATATACTATTATGCCTTTTTGTGCATGATATTTTAGCTATGCTTTATTGACATCTATGTATTCATTATAGAGATTCTATTTTTCTCGAACTAACTTAGTCTTAGACATGACTTTATGAAAAAATTTCATCTGCAATTATCATTCTTATTTTATGCATAAGAAACCCACCATCACCACTAGGGCAGTTCAAATGACAGATTTTAATCAGCCTGTAATTGCACCTTCCCCAAGAAAATAAAACTTTCTATATTATGAGAGCATTTGGTATAGTTCCCGCACAACAATTATAACTATGAAAAGAGATAGCGTAGTTTTTTCAAGATGTTTAGCAAACACTTTACATTGCCCGCGTTGCGCCCTCATTGTTGTGGCGACTTGCAGCGCTCTTGCACTTAGTTTCAAGGTGCCGCAACGTTAGAATATATAGTATCGAATGCATAAGCTACAACACTTCATAGGATGACTATAGATTGCCATATCTATACCAACTCATTCTACCACTTGGATCATATGAACTCGATGAATGTTCGATTAGCAGGATGACTTGTTACTTTCAAGATTGCTCATTTGTTAATTTTACTTTTTTATACTCTTCAGGACACAATGAGTCATGCTTTCCAGTTTTAAGCTTTGGTAAGTCTTCCCATTTTGTTCCCTGTACTTACACAATTAAAATATTCTTAATAAATGTTCTAAAGGGTATTGTGCTGTTATAAGAATCACAGCGCATTAAGGAATGTGTTTTATTCAGATATCTCGGAGTGAAACTTTGATGGACTGCAAGTGCCGGTAAAATTCTAACGAGAAAGCTTTGCTAAAGAATTTGGTCCCACGAGATACCCATGTGCTGACAAAAGATTCATATCTTATAAGAAGCTTTTTGCCTGAATGGTACTTTAAAATTTCAGGACACATGTACTTGGAATTTGGAGCATTAAAAATTTTATTTATGCCGTGTGTGGAAATCTGTAACCTTGAAAAAAGAAACGTAAGTTGGGAAAATGGAACTGAATGATAAGAAAATTCTGAAGTGTTGGGTGTTATAGATGTTCTATTTGGTTGAAAGAACTGGATTCCTTATTTACGATACTCTGTACTGGTTCTGAACATGCTAAGAGTTACTAGCGATGTCGGTAGGTTTCTTTCTCTTTGTTGTTAAATTGATGCTAACATCTTCTTCCACCCTTTTACTGCCATGCTATTCGTCTTTGTACGTTATTCTTCTCTTCCATCACATCGGTCAAGATGCCTTAAAAAATGTGGGATAAAGAAAAGTATGCATATCAATGGGATTAGTTATTATAAGAACTGGCTGCTTGGAATTATGTCAGGAGTCTTTCTCAAGTGGTGACAAAAGGATCAACCTTTTTCTTTTTGGAAGTTGTACCGTTTATTTCCAATGGAAATACTAGAGAGGGCTGTGAAATATGGGTTCCATGTAGGGATTTTGCAGCAAAAGCTTAAAAAAAAGGGGAGAGAGATAGAGAGGAGGGAAAAAAAAGCAAAGGAAGGAAAGAAGGTTTGGCAATGATGAGGATTGGAAGGAAGAAAAAGGTGCAAAAGGAAGGTTTATTGAGAGGAGGAGATGAGATGAGATTCCCTGATGGAAGCTGACACAACTGCTTGTATGTTAGAGAAAGGTGAGAGTGGGGAATTTTGCAGAGAAGCTTTTGGTTTGTCTGGTTGTGCCTCGTGAGAAGATTATGAGAAAAAAAGTTTGAGAAAGAAAGAGGACATCTCTTTTATGGGGCAAAATGGCATGTATCGTACCTAAACCCTGCAACTTATACATGTACTTTCTAAAAGCTAGGATATACCCATAATTCTCGTTCTCAAACTTTCTTTCATTAACCCCTAGGTCCCCCCCTCCCCTTCTCTCTCTCTCTCTCTCTCTCTCTCTCTCTCTCTCTCTCTCTCTCGGGCGGTGGTGAATAGACATTGTTATTCTAACAACTTCCCTTTATGTTATGCCAAAGCTGTAGACACCTTATGGAATCATATGCTAGCACTTTTCCTTTGCTTTTCCATTGGATAGCAGCTAAGGTAACTCACATATTATTCAGTTGTGTTTATATCTTGCAGGCAAAAAAGCTTTTGGTTTTCCAAGCATATTTGGCATTTTGTATTCTTTACTGTTATTTTCTAAATTCGAGGAGACCAACCTACTAAATGGGGATGGAATTTTGAGGTAAAGCATGTAGAATTAGAATATGCATGGAGTCCCACATGCACAAAAAATTGTCAGCCTTTCTAAAAGAGTTTAGCATCCAAATGGTTGTGGTCCAAGGCGTTAGGTTGATCCCTTCTCTGCCTACTTTTATTTTCTGAAACTTGGTGGTCTGCTTATGTGCTAAATTAAGTCTTCTTTTTATTATCTTGTTTGCAGATTTACGCTGCCAACAAAAGTCTGTAAAACGTTATAGGGGGACGTGCATGGAAATTGATAAAGTTTGAAGAGGAAAAAAGAGGACTTGAGAGGAATGTGGGTAATAATTCAAAACTTTCATACTTCTACTGAAGCATCTTTTTCGGATAGCCGTTGACATTTCTCTCTTCTGTGTGTTTCTTCTTTTTTTCCTCCTCATCCCTTCTTCTCTCTTTTTCTCCTCTTTTCTTTGCCTCTCTCTTTCTTTTGGTTTTAGTAGTACCGCTTTCTTGTCCCGGACCACCACCATCACCACCACCACCCACCACCACCACCGGGCACAAATTCACATACACCATCAACTTAGTTGCCTTTTTAACTCACGCTCACATTACAGCAATTTTTTTTTGGCAGCCTCTCTTTGCCTCCTCTTTAGGAAAGGTTGCATGTCCTTAGATTTTCATCTTCCGTTATCTCTCTAGCTCTACATTCTAAATCTCTTGAAAAGAAAGTGGGTGATGAGGAAAAGAATTTCTTGGAATTGGTAAATTCCTAGCATTCAACCAAAAAAGGCTTGGAGATATAAAAGTGAGATGCTTGGGATTTCCAAAGCAGCACTTCTTCTTTTATCTTTCAGAACAAAAGGGTGTTAATCTTTCTTCTTCTCTTGCATTATTGCTTTCACTGTGCTGGATTTGGGTTGTGCGATTAAACATTATGGACTGCCTTATTGCCCATCCATTCAAAGGATTAAGTATGTCACTTGGAGCTTGTGTATACGTTATTATGAGTCATTAGGTCTTGATAACTTTTTGAGCTTATATTCAAAGGTGATATGCTAATGCTGTTTAGTTTTGTAATTTAAAGGTGATCCTTGCTATGGCAAATGAGTGCCAAAAGCAGAAGCTCATTACTTCAGGGTATTCACTTGAAATGATCTTGATCAGCTTATTATTCTTAGAATTTAGGATTCAATGTTCAAAAGTACATAGGTTTAGTGAAAGTTGCAAGCTGATGACCATCTTTAGTTTTTTCTGGGACCCCAAATTTTTGTTTGCATTCATATGATAAGGAAGAACATGAATGTACCTTGATAACATTGGATACCATACCCCTCATGGACCCAGTTCAACTCTTTAACACACACACACTCTCTCCCTCCACTTCCTATTGGATGCAAGTTGGGAGAAGTATCTGCCGTTCGGCTTTACTTTAGCGGGAAAACTTTAAATTTAACTCCAACTATTGACGCACAAAGGCAAACCAAACTAATGGCTTCGGTTTGCTGTAAATTCCGACTTACATGATTGTAATTGCAAGACTCAAAAGATCGAACCGAAAACAACCCGAAAATGTGATCCTTTCTGTTGAGTACGAGTCATAAGATTGATATAGGACCAGTCTGCTGAACCAATAAGCAAAATGTCCAGAAACAAGACCCACTGAACCCAACTACCCTACAGAATATAAGGGGAAGCATAGGTATAGATGTCTAAATAGTTAAAACACGTGAGGAACATGCCATCTGCTCCCTGCTGATATCCCTCAAGATCCAAGAATGTTTCCACAACAATCCAACTTGAGTCAATCCCCAACTTGTTATCTCGAAAGAAGCTATTTGCAATTATAGTAAATTATTGGGATAAGTGCACTGAAAGTCCTAAAACTTTCAATAAGTGCAATCAAGTCCTAAAACTTGTTACGAAAGTTCAATTGAATTCTAAAACTTTCAAAAAGTTCAATCAAGTCCTAAAACTTGTCAAATTGATCCAATCAAATCCTTCCGTTGATTACAACACTTTTCAAAAGTTAGAGGACTCGATTGCATATTCATGATAAGTTTTAGGACTCAGTTGCACTTTCGTGACAAGTTTTAAGACTTTCAATGTACTTATTTGGTCAATAAAAACCTTAGTGAGTTGATTTTTGATTAGTCGCTCGGCCAGTTTGGATTCAAACGGTAAATAAAATTGAATTCGATATCCCAATAAAGACACCGGTCCGAACTGAACCGAACCGATAGACCTTTTCGAACTATCGATCCGGGTTGTCTGATTGAACACCAGTAGCTAGTTATGGAATTCCTTCTTTGCTAGTAACAAGTAGATTAACGGGATGAATTTCGCTTTTTACTTGCTATTAAACTTGTGATTTCCCTCACAAAAACGTCCTCAATTGCTCTCTTTTCAGCTTTGACTTTCCCCCCAAAAACCCTTGTGGTCCAGTAGAGCGACCACTATGTCACTTCCAGGATTGAACACTCCGGTGGTGTCCTTGGAAAATGATGTTTGTATGGAACAACGACGTGTGATTATAACTTGAGTACATAAATATTGGAAAACGTGAAGTTGTATTACGATATTATTCATAAAATTAAGTGTCGAAAGTGTAGTGAAATTAAAAAATTATACGCTACACTATTATCTCTTGCTAGTCCAAAGCTTTTGATTGCACTTAATTCTGAAATTGGGATGAGATTAGGGAAGCGTTTGTGCCCCTCAACAGTTTGCAATCGCAAGGAAAACTATAACCGAAGGTCTAATTAACTTTTTGGTTACTCTCCAAATGGGTCTCAAACTTGTTATTGGCTCAGATATAATATCCCAAACCCGTCTCACTAAAGTAGTCTGGTTTTGGTGGATACCAACAATTCACTGTAGAGATTAATGGGAACTAATTATTCGAAATTGTCATATTGTAAATCTTCGTGGAGTCTCAGAATATATTTTTTTCAATGAATTTCATATAAATCTAAGATCCGTCAATAATCAGGAGAGAGGTGTGAAATAGTGGCCGGTTGAGAAATGTTACATTATACAAAAATTTTGTGTTAACGTTCACAAAAATTTTATAGGAACCTTGACAGTTTTAACAGAGTAAAGGCAATATAAAAAGTTTAAAAAACGTTATAAATCATAATAGAATTAGTTATTGTTTATATTTTTCAACCCCCTAAGAAATGTAATGAAAACAAAGGGCATTTTGTAGTTACACATATCGTATTTGATTATTGGATTTCCCAACTATAAAATCCCAAACTCATCTCAAACCTGGGATAATTATTAAAAAAAAAAAGTTTTAAATATATTGTATGGATGCCAATTCAGATATAAATCTTTCAATTTTATAAATTAAGTTATAAACCTTTTGACAATTTATCAATGTACTCATTCCAGTTTGTTTTGGCTGGAAATTGCTGACGTGGACGTTGACCATCTTACGTGACACAGCCGGTGCTGACGTGGATAATTTTTTAAATATTTTTAAATTTACTAAAAAAAATTTATAATTTTTTTATTTTCTACCTTTCTTTTTTCTTTTTCTTTCTTTTCCTTTTTTCTACTAAGTCCGGCGAGGATTGGGCGCAACCCTTGATGGTCTTAGAAGTTAGAAAAAGAAAGAAAAGAAAAAAGAAAAAATAATAAAAAATTTAGAAAATTTTTGAAAAATGAAAAAAATTGTCCACGTTAATGCTAGCCGTGCATGTAGGGCAATCAGCATCTACGTCAGTGATCGCTAGCCAAAATTGACCGAAAGGATTACATTGGCAAATCGTCAAAATGTTAGATTTAAATTATTTAAATTAAAAAATTTAGAACTGAATTTGCATCTGTACAATAAATTTATAATTTTTTTTGGTAATTTTCTCTCTCAAACCGTATAGGGTTTTTGGCAATTAACCTCAAACCCATCTCGCCTCCTCGAACCCGCCACTCATTTACGTCCCATCATGATTTAGGCAGGTAGATCCAATCCTATTATTAGATGATGCATTTGTAGACCCCCCATGCTTTAGTCCACATGTAACCTTTGCTACGTTGCTCCTCTCTTTCCCCTTTTCAAGCTGTCGCAAGAACGTCCCATCAAAATGTGTGTCATAAACCCTAAGATGGCCCATGTTTCATCAGCTTGCATATAGAATAGCAATGCTAACCTTTTTGCACATTATCTTCTCCTTAGACCTTTGAATATCTCCCAAGAAGCTGATCCATCTCTAGAACCGCGCTAAAAAACAAATAATCACTATCTCCTCGTGTTAGTAATTTTTCTCAAAATATATTGTAACTTTATATTAAATTGGGTTAATACTACGAAAAAACTCCAAACTGATACACCTATGACAAATTTACCCCAAATTAATTTTTTGACCACAAAAAATCTCAAACTGGTCCATCCGTTATTTTTCGTTAGATTGGATTACTACCACGAAAAATCATAAACCTATTCACCTGTGGTAAACGGAGGTAAAAACCCCAAATTGATATACCTATCAACTGTCACATATCATCTAACTCATCAATTTAAAAGTAAAATTTAATGGAAAATAAACAAATGGTAAATTTGTCATAAGTGTACAAATTTGAATTTTTTGTAGTCAAAAAATTAGTTTTAAGCAAATTCGTCACAGGTGTCCTAATTTGGGATTTTTTCGTGATATTAACCCTATTAAATTTGATAATTTAAAGCGAAGTAAGTAAGGGCAGAAACTATAGAATTTCCCCTAAGAAGTTATGAATTTCAAGAGCACTGATAATATGCATTTTCTCCAAGCTCAATTGTTTGGAGGCACTTTTTTAACATAATTAATCAAAATGGTTTGCTTTGAGTTAGACTTAATCGACTTCTTTCTTGTACAAAAGAATTTTTTTCATTGTCCGATAGGATTACCATCTTAGATAGTCATTGATTCTCACCATGGTCCATCAAATCCGAGTGTCCTTTCTAAGCTCGTACCGTGTTAATAGATTTGACCGGAAATTTGATAGGATGACAACATCGTATTCAATTAATATTTTAAATATAATATGCAAAAAAAAAACATGAGGGCAGTCATTGTCATTCGGGCTGTATTATATTATTGTTATTATTACTATTACTATTATTATTATAAATAATTTGACTAATGTGCATGCATGGGAAAATTTTACATTCCTTATTTTCTTCGAATTTTTCAAAGGAAGGAGGGCAGTAGTCACTGTCACCTTGGTTGGCTTTGGATTGGACCGGAGGAGGAGGGGTAGATTCGTCAAGTGTGGGGCACGCTCCACCGACATGCTCACGTCACCCCCGTCGTACTTGGCTTATCTTCGTCACTTTGCCATCCTCCATTTAATCCCAAGAATATACTCTCTTGCTTTTTCCAAAAAAAAATTTGAAAATTTTGTCATTTTAATTCTTTTTATAATTCTTCTTAGAATGCTCTACCACTTCGTGCTTAGGATAATAAGGATTTTTTTATAAATTTTTCGAGACATCGATTCTAGATAATTGAGTCATTAAACTGAAAATGAAAATCCAGCGGTGCATTTTAAAATTTGTTTATACGTTGTGGCACTTTATTCTAAAAGTGCGAATAAAATACGTTATGTAATTTGTATTGTCTGTTTTAGAGACATTAAAAGCCCTCGAAGTGATCTTTCCTGAACTACGAAATATAATTATCAGATGGGAAATGAGACGGTGTAATTATGCACATTGACATATCTTTGTTACAATTGGGAGAGTTGAACACATAATTACGCTTTAGTTCAACTTGAGCTCTAACTGTTTCGACGGCTTTGATGGTATCGAATTTGACAAGCCCTCCAAATCAACGCTATCTTTTGTCACTATTTACTTTGTTTTAATCCATACTTACCTTATCATCTACTTCGTATATTATTATGTCATGCCTTGTTTTGGCAAGTTAGGTACGAAAGTTTTTGTACTAGATTGGTAATAGGGACAACAATGTGAACGCGAGTCACTTCAATCTTTTTCTTCTTCTTTTTTTTTGGTTTTTCAAACAATATTTCGTATCCAAATTTTCATCTCAACTAATCTGCATGCACATGCATTGAGTGCTGCGCTCTCGACTCTCCTCAACTTCTATATCTTGAAAATGGTCTTAAAGTCCATGCAAACACATGTTGTGCATGGTGATTATCTAAAGATAAATTCCACAAGTTCTGGTCGATCATCAATTAACAAGTGTGCAAGAAATACTTAAAAAAAACTAAAATGTCTATACTTGCTCATTGATTTACTAATATTGTGGAACTCATCCTAGTTTACACTAGTAGTGTACATGAGGTGAATGTTACAATTTATTAACCCTTATAAACCCATTAATTTTTTACTGCTGGGTGCTGATTGACGAGACATTATAAACAGACATCAAGTCAAAAGCAACAATCTCTCTCTAACACATGTAATTACTTGCATGTTTGGTGGGAGGGTCCAGTAAAAAGGGCACTCGTCCAGCTTCGATCATATAAAGCATTGTTGCTTCCGCTTGGAAAAATACTCAAATATGATAAGGAAAATAAACCTTAGACCAAGGAAAATGTGCACCATTCTTCCACAGGTAACAAAACTAAGCATCTAAAGATTATGAAAATTCCCCTAGAAATAAAAAACTCCACCAAGAAAACGCCTGCTTGATGAGGGAAAAAACCCTAATTTTCTTTTTTCTTCCTCTATGTCTTTTCATTTAGTATCTTCCCAATGACATTGGATGGCTATTTAACACCACCCACCATACCTTAAAGACTCATCGTAAAGTTTAAACGCTAAAAGTCACTGAAGATTAATACCGCTTTTGGCCATGCCATATTTCCACTTCAACTATCACTCCAAGCCTGAGAAGCAGCTTGCATTGTTCTGATCCGCAAAGCCAAAACCATCACTAATCTTCAACGCAGATTGCTCGCTCCCATACGCCTGTTGAAGCTCCATCCCCTTAGTTAACCCTAGCAAGTCCCCCACGTGGACCCTCCCGCCCCCGGCGTCCACCTCTCCGGTCAATCCCAGGAAGTCCCTTGTCATCCCGTTGCTCTTCCGCCATGCCCCGAGGCTCTCCAAAGGCGATGCTGCCAGCTCTTTGACGAGCTCCGGGGGAACACTGGGTGCGCCGTAGTCAGCCCTCATGCTGAGCGATGCAATGTGGCTGGCCGAGCGAGCTGAGTGATGATGGTGGTGGTGGCTGGTGGCAGAAGTGGCCGCTGCGCCCATGGTGGTGGCCTTCTGGAGCAGTGCAGTGGCTGAGAGGTGCGCCGGCGCAATGGCGGCAGCACTGTGGAGGGCTTGGAAGGGCGAGGCGATCATGGCCTTGTAGCCGGGCGGCTCTTGAAAGATGAGCTGTGGTTGTGAGGAGAGCATAGGGACTTGGAAACGGAGGGTTTCGGGTTTTACAAGGACCCGCGGAGGGTGGCTAGGGTTTTGGGGTGGATCCCAGTTGGGGGTGAGGGAAACGTGGGTTGTCGGCTGCGGTGGCTGGCTGGAGAGGAGGGAGGGGAGAGGGAAGAGAGCGGGTGGTGGGTGAAGGTGGTGGTGGTGAAGAGGGATGTTTGGGTCAATGGTGGTGAGTTGACTCGCTGAGAGCCTTGCACTCTCTTCAGCTAGTGCATCACAAAATGCTCTATGCGTCACAAAGCTGTCCTTCCTGTGTGCAACAAAGAGAGATTTGGATGAGTTAAACATAGTTTCAATGAAGATAAAGAAAGGAAGGTTGATGTTATGGATGAATATGAACTCCAAAAGGTTGTGTAACCATTTTTGTACGCATGTCACATCTAACACCAGCAATGCGGGTAACTTTATTATCGATAAAGAACTAAACTGCTTATTTCAACGGTGAGAGCTGAGAATTATGTAAAAAAAAAAAGTTATACACGGTGTATATATAATGTTAATTCTGATGTTATTAAAGCGAAGCAAACTGAATTGAGTGGTATTTGCAAGGCTTTGATGATCAAGTACAACAAATATATTTCAATGCATCTCTTTCTAGATAGCACTTCTATTGTCAAAGCTATTGCTGATACTTGAAAACACAGCAAGCATCATCCATTCCCGCTGCGAAAATGCTAGAAGAACGTGAGGTTCACGTCTTTATTATACCCGTGACTTCTATTCTAAGTCGCAATACTCTTTTATGCACTGCGATCGACTTAATCTTTTTATAACAAATTCAAGGAAGAACTTCCTAGGTTGAACTAATTATTCGATGTATGCTTGCGAGTCTTACTTGGGTTATTATAAGAACAGTAGTAAGTCATGAGTTAAGAATTGAGGCAATTATCGATGCATCAGTGACACTGATCTCACCAAGGAGTTAAGTTGTAAGTTCATACGTGCATCAGTCAATGATACAAAGCACATAAATAATGAAGCTCTCGGGATTTGGGAAGTTCATGCAAAAAGGGACGACGCAATAAGTAACAAAGTCTTTCAAGAAAAAGAAAGAAGAAACAATTAGAAAGGAAGTAGGCCACCATTGTCAAACGACTTTAGAGAAAGAAATCATCACCATATAGCGAGGGCCTACAGTTACGCATGAGGATTAGAAAGGCGCCTAAGGACGTCATTAAAGCGTACGCAGACACAAAGAAGGGAATTTTGCTCCAATGGTCAACATAAAAGTAGAGAGAGATAGAGAGAGGGACGCTGGTGCCGTTCATGCAAAATGTGAATGTGAGTGTGGACATAGAGACACAGATGGCTCAAAATCTCGAAATCGGTGCCAAATAATTCGAGTGGATCCACCACCTTATCCAAGATAATTGCTCGACCCCAGAAAGAAAAGAAATGTGCATATCATTGTCTTTGCAAACCCAAGAAAAGACGAATGTGCAATTCCTTTTGTTTTCCTGTGTGTGTATAGGTAGACTGGTAAGCATTGGCAATGGCAGATTCGACAGTATTCGACAGTATTCATGATGACGAGAGTTCTACAGTCAGTCATTTAAGAAGGATTCTCTGCAAAAAGCGTGAATTAATCAATGGCATTGTTTAAAATATGAAATGGGGAAAACAGATCGTCCAGGACTTTTCATGGCTCCTATTAAAGCTGAACTTCTTTTACTTTTTTCACCGAGCAAGAAGAAAATCTCTATCATTGCCCTCGTGACTGCAGTTCCTAAGTACCGAAAAGTAGTAATATTACCACACTTTTCCCTTTTCTCTATTATTTTTTGGCTGATAATGCGGAAGAATTGGAGAGAGAGAGAGAGAGAGAGAGAGAGAGAGAGAGAGAGAGGGTATGCATGGTGATTCTTTCTTCGATTCTCAGGAACTGCAAGATGCATCAGAAGCTTACACAAGACCAGCTCATTTTTACCCATAAAGGGTCACTGGGGAAATCATTCACTTCAAAAATGAATCATTTTTTTAATTACCGAGTATTATATTTTCTATTTTTCGTTTCAGAACCGAGTTTCTCTCACTTCTTCTTGGAATATCACCATAGTAAGAGACTTGGCCCCAATAAAGGGCATTTTTTCCCCACGGAAATCCCATGCAAGCTCACCATTATACATTCTTGCAAAGAGCCAGATAATGCTAGGCATTCGAAGTATGTTAACAAAAACTGGGTACGCAAGCATTCTATAAATGCATAACAAGAAGGCTGCATGTTTGACCAGAGCCATCAGTATTCAAAAGTTGAATGTCAGTTGCTGCTGAAGGAATAGTATTCGCTAAACGAGGCATTATGAAAAAACAATTAAAACAAAATCGAGGAAAATGAGAGATTAATTTGAGAGAGATAGAGAGTAATCATAAGAATTAATTAATCGAAATGATGATTACTTACCTGGAGAAGAGAGTGCCACAGTCACATCTATACTCTCTGGTTCCACAGGTCTTGGAGTGAGCCTTCCAATCAGACTGGACCGCATAAATCTTAGAGCATTTTTCACACTTCCACTTCTTCTCTCCATGCTTCCGGCAGAAGTGCTTCTTGATGCCTGTGAGGTCACCGAGAGCCCTCGAAGGGTGGTGGTGGACACAGGTGGGCTCAGGGCACACATAAGCCCTCTTCCTAACCACCTGGTCTTTGCCACTCCTCTGCTTCAGCTTCCATGGGAGGTTGTGGCCTCTCCTGTGGAGCTGCAGGTTCTGGTCCCTCTGGAACCCCTTGTTGCAGATCTCGCACACGAACCTGTTCGTGGCCAGGAGGGTCTTTGGGGACAGTGCAATCACTTCTGCATCTGGGTCTGCCAAGAAAGGATGAATCTTGATGACCCAACATGTTAAATTTTTCTCCTCCTTTTTTATAAATTATGAATGAAGATGCCATACAAGTTGATTAAATTCAGTGGGTATCCGTCTTTCTTTGATTAAATCAAGTGGGTATTAATAATGACTGACCTGGGTTTCCAGGGAGGCTTCTCTTCTTCCTGATCTTCTTCTGCTGCTGATGCTGTGGAGAGTTGTTGTGAATGGGGGTGATCAGTTGTTGGGGTTGCTGTTGCAGTGAATTTTCTTGATTGTTCTTGTTGGCAGTATCGGTGTTGTTGTAGTTGAAGCTGCAAAAATCCAACACTCTTGCACCAGAAGAGACACTTGCTTCATCAGACGCGGTAGTGGAATTGGACATGGTTGCAGGAAACATGGTCTCCTTAAAGGCAAAGACTGATCCAACAGAGAGAGAGAGAGAGAGAGAGAGAGAGAGAGAGAGAGAGGAAATACAAACAAAGAAAAATGCTCCAAGTGATGAATAATTTTGAATCTTTTATCTTGATCTCTCTTTCTTTTGCTTTTCTTTCTATCTCTATCTTGTGTAATTGAAACTTTGGCTCACTATGTACTTGTAAGAGTGTCCTATATTTTGCATCTTTGGAAGGAACGAGAGAAGCGGAGAGTGCCGGCAAAGCTAGAGATGAGAGCAGTTTAGTCAATGAGAGGTGACAAATAGTGCAGGAATATATAGGCCACAGAGAAGAAACAGAAAGGCGTCACTCATTGGGTAGCTAAACAAAGGCATGAATTGAGACCAAAAGAAAACAAAAATGAAAATGAAAGGTCTCTCTCGTGAAGAGATGGTGATGATGGGCAACTCTCCAAGGTCACTGTCCAACACATATGGATTGCTTGTCTCTGAGCAAAGCCTGAAGCTACAAAGGGAGCTCATACGTATCTCTCTGAAGACCCATCAAGAGCTATCAAATGTTAGCTCACTCTATCACTCACTCACACCATGCATGGATCAAAACGCGGATAGAGCAGAGATAATATTAAGATGGTGATGTGGGTTCCCTAAAAAAACATCTCTCTCTCTCTCTCTCTCTCTCTCTCTCTCTCTCTCTCTGGCTGCTGCTTCTACTTCCCAAAAACCCTCTCGTTTCTGTCGTTTTATACACCGCAAATTTGCATAAAGGGAGAGAGAGATGGGGGAGAGAGAATATATAATTTGTAGGTCAAAGAAAAAGAAAAGGAAGCAAAAGAAATTCAGAAGCTTTGTTGCAGATAATTATGTGTGCAGAGAAGCCCAGAGAAAGATTATGATTACAGTGGCAGACCCACGGGGGAGGGCCGGGAGGCTGAGGTGGGCAATATACATATATAAAGGAAAAAGGATGATATTGCAATAAGACCTAGGAAAAAAAAAGCTAAGAAAAACCCTTAAAGAAGCTGTTTAGAGAGACAGAGAATCGCAAATAAGGATGACATTTCTGACATGACATAAGACCAAAACACTTGAATATATCAAAGATTCCACGAGAGAAATTCAAATTCCATGCAACATGATGTGATGCAACTTAATTCAAATTGTCAAGAATTGTCACAATTTTAGTTATTCTTAATAGAATCATTTTACAATCACATTAAAATACTTTAACAATTAGATCATATAACATGAACGAAGAAGGTAAATATGATTTCATGAGCGGAATTTCTATCCCGACTCACAATGGGAAAAATCCTAACTCACCCTCTCTTATCATTATTTGGTCTTTTTTGGAAAATTCCATATCTCTTGCTTCAGCCATGTTTACATATTTTTTCTTTTCTTTTCTACTAGAGTTGTTTCTGTAAATTTTACTTAAATAATCAATACACGGTGTGACGTTGGCACTTTCCTGTCTCTTCCTTTGTTCCTGTTATAAAATGCCCAAATGCCAAAGATGATATAAAAGGACATTGATTTGAATGGAATGATTTATCAAAAGGAAAGGGTTGCTTACGCGAGCATTTGAGACATAATACATTGGAGAATGAGCAGGATTATAAAGCCCAAGAGGAAGCAAAGGCTATTTGCTAAAGATGTGTGACGCCCTCTTAACCTTTTTGGAACCCCACAAAACCATGATTGAATCATCAATTGCCCGAATCTTTCTTTTATTCATAATTTTTCCCAAAAGCACATTGTGTGTGTATGATAATTGATACTATATAATTTCAAATTCTAAGTTACCTTTTATAATGCTTACTTAATGCATAATGCCATATGTGTAACTATATTTCACGAAATTGATTTGTGAAATGATAGGACGGACTTGTGTAGCGTATAAAATAAGAATAACTCTCTAACTTAACTCTTGGTTTGTCACATTACCGTCACTGGGTGAACTAGCTTCTATATCTAACATTACCCCCATAATGTTTTAAGGATATAATATTTCTTTCTTGACCTAGTTTCAAAGGTTAAGTTTCCTAGTTTTGAAGATATAAACTTGCATATGCATATACTTTTGCATGAATCATTAGCATCTTCTAATAGCGTTGCTATTGCTAAACTCTGTGACTAATCACCTCAATTCATAATCGCTGACTTTTTTTTGAAGCCAATTTCTCTCTCTCTCTCTCTCTCTCTCTCTCTCTCTCTCTCTCTCTCTCTCTCTCTCTCTCTCTCTCTCTGTAGTGAAAGTGCACGAGCAAACCCCACCAAGGCGAATTCGGAAGGTCTCTTCCCTCTTTTCTTTCCCCTTCTTCTTTAACTTTTATTATTCCAAACCTCAACCTAAAGCCATGTAGAGAGAGAGTGTGTGCAAGACCCTTTTATTCTCCCTGTTCATTTCGTCAACAACCTTTGCATGACAATCTGCATCTTCATGGGATTTCCTCCTCACATATAGATGACCATGTGCAATCAAGGTTGCCCAAAAAATAAAGTGCAAGAGGTAGATAATATTCCCTTTCTCCAGAGCGCATGCGTGGCCTCAAGCTAACCATCACTTTAAGCCCTTAAAGGTTAAAGAGAGGTACACAAGGGTATATTCATGCTACACCCGTAAATGATTGCATATCAAGTGATGCATTCCAGATTATGATGTAGGGTTTTGAATAATTTGATAGGAGTTTGCATTCGATTTTTGGGCTCACTCTTGCGAGCAATGGAATCCAATGTCGGTTCTTTTGATCTAAATCTTTTATATATCAAATTGGCTTTTGGGAGTGAGTGAGATTCATGTTGCTTTTCTTTTGGGATAAGGTGAGATTTATGCTTCGTGATTCTCCTTTAAGGCAAAAAAAAAAGTTCAGGTTGATGCGAGGAATATCTTGCTCAAGTTAGCGAAAGTTTTAGGGTGCCAAAGCTCTGAGGTATACGATCCAACCCAATCATGCTTCATAAGTATCATTAAAAAATTGGATAAGTATCACACAAAGCCACTTTCCATCGGTCATTAATTTAAGGTACCTAATCAAAACTGGCACACGCTTTTGTTTTGACTAATTATTGGGCAACTGAAGAGAGACTACTGGTGATGTTCTAAGGGTTATAAGATCGTCCATCCCCATTCGTGTCGCCATTTGTTGTCTCGTTTATCCAAAATCACCAATTTAATTAAGTGAATGAGGGTAGCCGCAAAAGAAAGGCAACGGGCGAGATTTGTTGAGACACCGAATAGGGCAGAGGATCTTTTTCCCTAATAGAAAAGGCATGTACATGGATCATCCTAATCATGCTGGAAGATTGTTGACTTTGTAGCTTCCTAAGGAAAGATTGCATTTCCTTCGGCACTCTTGTCTTATTAATTCCAACGTACATACTTTTAGCATACCCTAGTATTGCTCGTGTGGCCAATAAAATGTACGAGAAAGGAACTCTTGTTTCCCCCAGCAATGGCAACTTTCTACGCACTCACCAACTTGGAATAACGAGAACAAAACCCACATTCGCAATCCCTTGTCTCTTTCTAAAGAAAAGTAATTACACTCACCTAACCAAGTGCTCCAGTTTCTCAAGGTCATTAGACATGATCTTGGTCATGTGTGTGCTCTTGGTCATATCATGCTTCTTAGGAAGGAGAGAGAGAGATTACGGCTTGTGACGAAACAATGGTGACAAAAAACTGTGAACCTTTCGCAAGTTTATTACAGCTAATCTGGCGACCACATCCACCACTTACAGCTGTTCACCTGTTCTTTATGCACTTCTTTTATATGATTGTTGGCTAATGTATCTGAAACAGAGTGAACTTTGCTGTTATTATTACAATTATTATAGGATTCATTCATTCACGAAAGACCCACGATGGGCCACACATACCTTGTTCACGGGTTATTCTTCTGTTGCCAGATTCTTGCATGCTGCTTCTTCACCTCTCTCTCTCTCTCTCTCTCTCTCTCTCTCTCTCTCTCTCTCTCTCTCTCTCTCGCCACACTCAAGATTGCCTTCATGGAAATCATTGACATTATTGCAACTCCCCCATACACGTCTAACTCGTTCTTCCTTTTGTCCTTTCTCTTTTTAATGTATTAGAAGCCCTAATTCATTCCGCGGAGTTTCGTATGATTTCAAATACGATCTCCACGGTTCGCTCGAGACACTCGGCTATGCTTGAGGGTCTTACCTGCCCAAGGGCATTGTTGAACTACGTAGCGCGATCCAAAGTAACGTGATAACCACGAAGCTTGATACCGGAACTAGGGTATATCGCAAAAACGGAGTCCTCGTAAAGAAAGAGATTTATCTTGATCAATGCTCGTGGAACTTCAATTAACAGCGCAAGAGGAATTGACTTCGATCTTGACCCTTTTGTTTCTTGCTGTATCTGGGTAATTGTATATATACTAATTTCGAATAAAGCTTGCCGTGTCGAGATTGTCCCACGATTGACATGATGTTCTTTGTCTGGCTTTGATGGTCTCTCTCCCTTTGGAGAGCTGATCTTTTTTTATAAAAAGGAAAAAAAATCGAATGATGCAGCATATCTTTGGAATGCACAAGAATCGGATGCAGGTCAAACTTTTCATTTTTGCCTCGAATATGATAATGATGGGGGGGACAATATGTAAAGAAAATGATTGTACATGAACATAATATGGACAAAAGACGAAAGGTACGACGTGCGAGAGGACATTTCTAATGTGCGATATGATAATTTCACGGTGATGACAATGCTGCTTTATCTTAACTATAGACAAATCGTGGGGTTTCTGATGTCATTATACCTAGGCTTAATTAGGGCCATGATATTAGATCGATAAAGAAGAGTTCTCTATAGTGTGTGAAAATGACTTTGTGGATAATACTTTTGGGAGACCTAGCAAATGATGTTTACATTTCCCAGATACCAAATAAATTAATTTTGTCTAATGCGAACCGTATATGATCGATCATTAGGCCGGTCTCGCTCTTAATGAGCGTAACATTTCTTCTGCATACTCAACTGTTTAAACACGTGACACGTACTCGGATTCTAGGGTATGTCGAGAAAGCCGTATTCAAAAGAGTCGAGATAATCGGGCGGACGGGAATGACGTAAGGACTATTTAGAATCAAGACCAAAGTATATTGGATTAAGGGCAACGAGACAAATCATTTGAGCAAGCAAAATAAGAAAAAAGGAATGAGAATAAGTTGACGGGCTTTCGACCTTACTCCGATCTTTCTTTTCAATGAAATTGAAAAACGGATCGCGTGTATCGAGGGATTAAAAAGAATCGAGTAGAGCTCTTCACAAGATAGATATTCATGCACTTGACTCGAGATCATCATGACACGGTGCTTGTGAAAGATGTCTTAAGCGCCCTATTATTTTCCGGGATTCCGCGCTGCGATCTCGAGAGAGTAAAAAGAGCTATTTCGGAGATAAATGAATTATCATTGGACCTTCCGAACGTTTTTTTTTTTCGTACTGGACATCAGCCCAGACAATGATTCCTCATGGAGACCAAAACGAGAAACCCAACAAAAAACAGAGCCCAAAAAACAGGACGATGGTGGGCCCCGCGTTTCGAGATGGCCGTACGGAAATGATGGCCTCACGGGAAAGGCACGAAAACAAGGCTCCTCTCCCGGTCACGAGAGCCCCGGAACTCCTTGCTCCG